CTAGATAACATTCCACAAGTGGCAAATTTATGGGTTACATCACTCCCTTTCCCAATCCCACTCCCCCTCTCGGAAAAGTTTGTTTCTTTCTTAACACTTGCAAGTATATTCAAGGACTTCAGAATACACTCCCTATTTTTAGTTTCTGAAAAGGTTAGCTTTCGCATTACAAAGGAAATGGCTGAATAACTGGTTCCCTAAAGTTTCAAAAGAGGCCTAGACTGCCATGCTAAAATGCTAATATCCCCTTTATTGAAAAGTTAATAATCAAGCCTAAAATTCCAGGTAACAATACAATTGACACACCTTGGCTTATTTCTGTTAAGATATTTTTGTTGCAGCTTCATTCATTGCAGAGAAAGCAAACTGAAGCAAGTAATTTCAAAACCATGAGTGCAAAGCAAAGAAGAAAGTAGGAAATTAATGGAAATAAAATTAAAAAGAATTAAAGATGCACCGGGGTTCTGGCAAGATCTCATATCCACAACTGTTGTCCCCAAATACCATTTCAACAAAATAACAAAAATAAAGACATATTTGGGATTTTAAAGTCATTTTAAAACATCTCCAGGCCTACACACGATCATACTATAAAGCTATGAGTGGGCAACCAGAGCCTTTAGCTGCTAGATCTCTATCTAACAGAAATTCATATATAGCCATTTTGAGGCAGAAAATGGTCATAGTAGAATTAATTAATGAAATAATTATAAAATAAGGCATCATTAAAGCAAAATCTCAAACGGAAAAAAACTGAATTAACTTGCTTAATTTCAGATATGATAGATCGATGTTATGCAAGTATGCCTTCCTTTTTTCTATATGCTTTTCTACTAGAGTTTTGTAATTTTTACTGTTCTGGGCCTAATGCTAGAGGCCTCAAGACCATCTCCTCTTATGGCAGCGGCGGGGGTGGGGGGTAGGGGAGAGTTTATATAGCTTTAGATTTTATATTAGCTATTGGCCATTAGTGGGACTTCCTCAGGAACATGGCGGATTAAAGATGGCTCTGAAAAAAGTGGAGCTGATGATTGCAGCTAAGAACAAAGAGCTGGCAAGTAGATCAGCTCCTTCAACCCTCTCTGGAGAAAGAGAGGATATGAAATTGTGTTGTGCTCCATATGTTTGCTCCTCATGAGGAGACTGCAAGGCAGCAATCTCCAGAGGGTGGGAGAACTGGGAGACAAGGGAAGTTGCCATTCTTGCTCCAGCCACAATCAGAGCCTTTAAAGGACATTAAGTTTGCACTTTCTTTGCTAACCACTTTCAGAAATTGCCTATTAATTGCTTTAAAGAAGTTAAGACATCTTCAAAATGACACAGCTGGAAACACTGGGTGCCTTCAATCCTTAATATAAGAAAATGAAGCTGTATCTTTATAAGCTTTAAGAATTTAAAATAAACAGCAGAAAGACAAGGTTTTAGCTATAGAAAGTTTTAAGCAGGTTAAGGAAATCAGAAATCAAAATATTTGATTTTGAATATTAAGATTTTGAAATTAATTTTAAAGAATAAATTCATTTTTGTAGGAAAGAAAAATTAATTTTGATATTGGAGACATAACATGATAAGCAACTTATAATGGCATTCAGAGATATTTTTGAGGAATTGCACTGGGACCTTAAATCAACAATGTCAGCTATGTTGTGTGTTCTTATAAGTCTGTTCCCAGAAGAAGCTGTTACAGAAAAAGATTTGCAATAAAATGTATCTGACACAATTATGGAGAACGTGTATAAGAAATTGTCATTGGATATCCCCCCCCCCAAAAAAAAATCAGAACAGGCTTTAAAAGTTAAGAAGGAAATAAAAATGCCAATCCCAGACAGCAATTGGAATAGTTTCTTCTTGCTGGACTTAACAAAAGAGTTTTTGAAGAAATTCAAGACAAGGGTCAATAATCATTTGAACCGACTAAAGACCAAGATTGCTTTATGCAAAAGGAAGCAACATAAAGTTAGCTTATTTGATCAGGGTTAAAATGGAACATATTATTTTGGGTGGTTCTTTCTGGACTTGCTGATATCTGGACTGGAAAAACATGTATTGTGTGTGCTTTCAGTTAAGAGTTGAGATATGGAATGATGAATTTTATATTTGTTAATTAATGTTATTATTTTAGGGCTCTGTTTGGACTTTCTGCTGACACCTGGATTGGAAAAGACGTTGCTTATTGAACTTGCCTATAGTTAAGAGTTGAGTTATGGGATGAAGAGTTTTATATCTGTTAATTAAGAGGAGGCGAAGACACAGTGAAACTGTTTATACTTGTGATGAGGGTGGGAAATCACTTTCTTAGGGTTTTTTTTTCTCTTTCTCTTTTTTGCTTTCTTTCACCTTTCATTCTCTATTTTTCTTTTTTCTTTTAGTTTGTATTATCTTTTACTATTGTAGTTAAAACTTTTAATAAAAAAATACTAAAAAAAAAGAAAGCTATTAGTCAGTAAGAGGCATATGTATCCTCCAAACATCCTCCTCTGGTACGGAGGATACCTATGCCTGAAGAATCCCAATAAGAATGAAACTGCTTGTAGTGCCTCCTACTGCTTAGTAGTTAATATAACAAATAGATACAATGAACAGAACATGTACACACATTAAAAATATTTTCAAGAAGCCCACTGCATTTACAGGAGGCCCAAAACTGGACCTGCTATTTCTTTTATTGATTTTTAATACAGTATTTTATTTAAAATGTGCATATGTGTGTGTGTTTGTGTGTATATGTATATGTGTGTGTATATATATATAATCACACACACACACACACACAGAGCAAGGCATACAATATACATGCAATTTGCTTCTTGCTATCATTATACATATTTTAATTAGTTTTACGCTAGACCACAAACCCTAACGGTTTGATTTTTCTATAGTAAATTTTTTTTATATAAAATGTACAAGTTATAATACCTAAAGCATTTCTACAGAAAAACCTCAGAAATGGAATGTGTAACTTCAAGCAGCACAAGTAGTAAGTTTTAACTATCAGTGTTACCACTTTAATTCCCAATATTTAACTGATTAGTTAATTAACAGTAAATCCTTCATTTAACATACAATGGTTATCCTAGCAGTACTAGAGGCATACAAACACAGCTATGTGAATACACCAACATTCCTCTTCTGCATCAAAATTTCTCCATTTTGTCACATCTCTGATTGTTTCATAAGGATAACTAAAGTAGCATGCTACCATACTCTCTATAGATTCCTTTTTCTGAGAAATTGAAATATAAAATAGTTTACAATTTAATAAACATAAGCTACTACTCTGGAGCTAATGCAGGGGTCTCATTCCATGAACATGCTCATGGGATTTGAGATTGAAACAAAATATGCTTTCTCCTCTCCAGAGCAAATTTTGCTGATTCTTCTCTCACCAGTCTCATCAATGCTTAAGGTTTACAGTTAGTACCATCTCTCTGTGAAGTCATTTTCCAAAAAGAAATCTAAATTAGGAAGAACAGAGCCACTCACATAACAGTTAACTATAATTTACACCAGCAGGTTAATGGAAGAAAGTAACTTTGGTAAGGTTACTTTCTTCTCAACACCTAAATCATGGTTGAAGTACAAGATTTGTTACAACTTCACTGGCCCTCATTATTTATTATTTTCTTATTAATTTCCAAACACAGAAATAACTAAAACCAGCTTTAAAACATTATCTCATTTTATAACCATAGCAAGTGATAAATGCCAGCAACAATTGCAATTATCTTATCAGTTAAAATGTTTGACTTCACAGCATTTCCTAAAATCTTGGTAATCTTTGCATTGAGAAAAATAAATCATATATAGGTTAAAAAAAACTATTGAACATAGTAATGTTAACTACAATTATTGCATGTTAGCAATGTTAGTTCACATACTGTTATAATACACATTTCAGATGATAACTAAAAAAGAAACCATTTTAAATAATCTATCTTTACTTTTCCACATTTATGCATATAAATTATCTGCTTTACATTAGTCTGTAAACAATGAGGCATTCAATGTGTTTATCATGGCAGAAAATGAAAAAAAAGTCTTCTTTATTTTATTTTGTTTAGTCCTCTTCCCATTAAACATGCGAACACTGTCATAACCATTTTTGGCTTCACTTCTACCAAGTCATCTGGTAAGGCATATATACAAGCACCAATTTTCCGAGCAATTGAAATAGCATATCTTGGAAAGAAAAAGGGGGAAAAAATTACTCATTTGGCATTATTTGCATTGGAGGTATACCCAATGATGCTTTCCTTAGTAACTTTTGTCTTTGCTAATGAGCAATAAATTATCTCCACTCTTTTCTCCAATCATAATCTACTGCAATCCTACATGCTATATCCCATTCTATTCCAGATAGTTCCCAACCCTCAGAACTAGCTATTCAGAGGAGCTATGAGTAACACATTTTTTAAAGCTGCATTGGTTAATAAAAGTTGACTACAGAATATTCTTTTCACCAACCTATGAATATTTTAATATTTTAGTCACAGATATGTGTCAGTGTTTTAAACTATCTTTGTCTATTTACTTTTCAACAGTTGTTATGCAATATATAAAACATTGTGTAAAATATTATAAAATATGAATTTCCCACAACATTGCACAGTGTAAAATTACAACAAAGAAATTTAAAAAAATGCTATAAACAATAAGTATTCTCTTGGAGGTTTCACTTAGTCCCTAACCTTTCTAAGTCTAGTAAAGGTGCTTGCATCGAATTCCAGCCAGCCCTTTTTGGTCTGCTTTAGTTGTAACAGAGATTTTAACTGTTTTAATAAGATTTAAAATGTTCTTTGATTATTTAATTGTCTTGAGTGTCATATGGGCAGAAAAATGGAATATAAATCATAGAATTAAATAACAAATTTAAACCAATTCAGAAAGAAGTAGTACACTAATCCCTAACACAATGTTTCTCAACCATGACAACTTTAAGATCCATGGACTTCAACTTCCAGAATTCTTAAAGTTGCCAAGGTTGAGAAACACTGCCCTAACATTTTAGAAAACATTAAGGAACACCTTGTTGCTTTGAGAAGCTTAGTGAGACAGTATTGACTTCTCACGAAAGGTAATATCAAAGATTCAAGGCTGCAGCACTGTGTTGAATTCTCCATGAGATTGCCCTGGAGAACAGCCTGGAAGTTCGTTATAGAAAACGACAGTAAAAAAGTACCAGTCTCTACAGTCCTTTCTTCAGCTTATATGAACATACTGAAAATACAGTTGTAGGAAAGGGCTGTGTAGATATACACTAATTTCAAACTGTTAACTATTCAGAAAGTCGTTTCCAGATGGCTTTCAAGGATAGCTTCATGGAGACCTATTATTATAAATCTCTAAATAACAAAAGCCTAAGTAACAATGGTCAGGATTCGATATTCTAGTAATAGCTACAGCTCACTTATTAGTTAAATGTGATTCAAAACACTCCCCTACAAGGCCACTGTGATTCAGAAGTGTTTCCAATCACAAACATGATAGTTTAGGGAGAGTATGGCTGTACCAATAACAGATATTTCCAAAACTATCTGCCTAGTAACAACTTTATCAATTCAGTTTTATCTGGACTGAGTGTATATTTATCCATCCTGGTATAAATTATCTCTGATCCCAGACATTGATTCAGGAAAGCAATTCTGTTTTTCAATTGAATTTGTGAGACAGAAATTACAGCTTGGTGTAATTAACATACTAACAATAAGTAATAACCCTAGATTACCTCACTTAGCATATAATGTAGATTAAGGCTGTACATGCTTCAAAAATCATTCAAAAGACGTGCTTCAGTCCTTTTGTGAGGACTGCTAAAGCATGTACATTTATTTTTCAAGCTCCCACACAAATCTGCAAAAAGATGTTACTGCTTTAGTGGACTGATATCAATGTAGAGTGTCTTTAATGTGACTCATTGCAACTACAATTATCCTGCCATGGGTATGATTAATTCTAAATCTAACCCATTAAATATTATTTGACTTATGTCAAAGTTTAATATGTCATGCTGCATGTAGTCTATTGAGTGGGATTCTATCTTTTGCAGAAATAAAGAACGTTGCATCAGTATGCCTAATGCAAATCTTTTTCCAGCAAAGATTAGTCACTGCAGAAGCAGGATATTGTATGTTTTCCAGCATTAATGTACTTTGTTAGATGCATGAAATATTCCCCAGTTTGGGATTAATCTGTTTGTGGAGACTCAGTTGTATTTTAGTTTGATATGGTTGTCTTCTGTCTGGGACATTATGTCTTGCTGTTACATTTTTAACTGTTTTAATTACATATTTTAATATGTTGTAAGCAGCCCAGACTCTTTTGGAGTGGGCAACCATAATAAATTTAATTACTACTACTACTATTACTAATCATAATCATAATAGTTGGAAGATACAGAACAACTGATATACTTCTCCCATTTGAAACTTAATAAAGGCAGCTTTAACCCATACTAAAACATTGTTCTTCAAAATTCCATACTTCTATAAACTATGGCACTTTAAAGGATTACTTGTTGCTTTCATTCAACAGTATAGTCTTCTGAAATATGCTGCAAGGACTTACTTAGCATTATTTAGCTTGTCTGCTTCTGTTAGATCTTCTCTCTTGACCATTTCTGGGCGGACTGCTTTTGGTGCAATAGCATCTATTAAATCTAATACGGGTAAACTAGTGCTTATAGATCGGTCCTGAAATGAAATATATTAAAGTATTGTTAGTTATCAATAATGAATTATTTTCTTTCATCCTAATTTCTCATCTTTCATTTGGTTTGTCATATACTTTTCTCTTTTAGCCAGCTGTTGTCCATGATATTACAAAGAAGTCTCATCAACATGGTTTCAGAAACTTCTGCTGCTGCCCAGATAACACGTTCATAAGAATTTTCATGTGGATGGCTTTGTTCTATTATTACCATTTCCTTCTACATATTTATAAATGGTATACAGTACTCTGCTTCTTTCTGGAATCCCTTTATGATTTTGAGATGGTCCCTGGGTAATACATTTTGTTCCTGGGATCCTACAATGTACTTCTTCTGTCTTAAAATAGCAGGTGCTACTGCTGTAGTCAGCATCCTTTTAACAGCTCAAGCAGATGAGTGTTCTTGTCCATGACATCAAGTAATCAGCAGGAGATGCCCTAGAATGATGTAATTAGCTCTATTCTTTAAGAGTTTCACCGTGTTTTTCCTACCCAGGAGATTAAAGCTATGGTTTCAAGATTGGCTCATACTTTTTAAGTTCCACCATGAACCCTGTATTATCTGAAACCAGCATTTTACTATCCCCTTTGAGCTATTAAGTTGATGTTTCTTAATAAATTGATGGGATATAGAATTTATTGTTAGTACTATTAATTGTGGATCATGTTAGTCTGTTGTAACTCTTCTGTCCCTATTTTTCTGAAGTGTATCTCTTGTGTGCCATCGTCAAGAGAAAAACAGGCAAAGGCAAGCTGGATCTCTGAAAAACATTTTGGCTAACTGGTCATAACATTATTTTCTATAGTATTTCTGTTCGTTCCCATAAACAGTATGCACTTAGAATGCTGTACTTGTCCAAAGCTGATTGAAGCTAATGCAGAATTTCATGTGTGGATAGAAGAAAGAATTGTAATTTTATTTCAATTTACACGAGAAAAGAATACTGTTGAAACTATAGAAAATTCAAGGATCTGTAAAATATTTGGTTGGTAAATGAAGATTTGGGGATTTTTTACAAAAATTTGTGATACAATGGATTGATTTTTCTCAAAAACGTATGATGACCAAAAATGCTTTTCTTTGAAGAGTTTACTTTTGATACTTTTAATATTTTTATGATATATAAACTACCTCTACTTTCTGTTAAGTTCTATATTTGACTATTATATGTCAATTGTAGTGGAAGTGCAAGATTTCACTCTCTTTGATAGGATGTTCTTCCTCTGCTGTTTTTAATTAATCATCATATAAAATCCTCATTCCTTCCACAAAATTATTTTTTATCTATTTCTACAGAAAAATAGACTGGTCCATTACAAATAGAGCTATACATATGCACATATTGTTAGCCAGTATCCCTTCTGTTTTTACATTTTTTAAATCTAATATTGTAGGCAATTTTTTAAAAAAGTGTTGAATTTCTGCTATAAATTCATTCCCAGCCAAGATTTCTCTATCTAATTAATATAATATTCCATTTACTTGGATAGTATTTTTATTACCTTGAAGCTAGATATTGAAGTGGTCTTATTTGCATTTGCAAGAGTTTGATTCACCCATTTAATGATAGTTTCGTCATTTACTTTCTCCCCTTCTCCAAGGTCTGATAGTACATTCAAAGTATACCTGCAATAGATAGTATATGCAACTGGTAAGGAAATCTAAAGTTGTCCTGAATTTTCTGGGTATTGCTTTAGATAAACACATTTTTCAACAAAACCTACAGGAGGTGTGACTGCACTGAGAAAATAAAATAAAAAGAGATGACGTATATAAAAACAAGCCACAACTTCACTACACTGTACGAGAATTTAAGTGTCATCACAAAAGATGGTACAGAAATTCAGTTTTTGTTTTTTTTAAACCAAGTATTGAAAGTGAGCCTCCAACCCTCACAGATGGTCCAGAAAGATAGCATAGTCAAAGGACATCAAAGGCAACCCTAAATCCATCCATGACCCATAGAGTTCTCACCTCCAAATTCCCCTGTAAGTATCAACAGAGGTGAACAATGCAGTTTCTGTTTCATGTCTGAGCCTGAAATCTTGCCTGGAAAAGATCCAGATAATTTGTTTTTTCTAGAATCCATTGCAGCTGCCACGTGGCCACAAAAGGAAAGTTGGGGGCTGGGTGATAGTTGTCCAATATAGCTGGGTCCATGGACTGCCCCTTAAGGAGGGGACTCGGAGGCAAGCATTTTCAGCAGGGGCTCTTCTTTTATATAAAGCCTTTGAAAAATTGGCTATTTAAAAGATATTCAGAGACTGAGGAGTTGATTAGTTGGTTGGTTGTATTTGAGATGTTTCGGGATATTAGCATTATGAACTATTAGTGCTGATTATTATGATTAATATATGGTACTTTTTATCATTACTAGATTTGGCTTATGATTTTGTATTTATTTTATTATTCTGTTTTTCTATATTGTATTATATTACTGTATTTTTGGCTTATTAGCCACTTAGGGTCAGAAGTATTGAAGTGTCATAAAAGCATAGGTAGAGCCAGTCTGGGATAGTGGTAAAAGCCTCAGGCTAGAAACTGGGAGACCCATGAGTTCTAGTTCTGACTTAGGCACAACAGCAGCTGGGTGACCTTGGGGCAGTCATTCTCTCTCGGCCTTGGAAGGGCTGAGAAACTACTTCAGAAACTACTTCTGAAATGTTGCCAAGAAAACTGCAGGGACTTGTCCATGCAGTTGCCAGGAGTCAACACTGAGTCGAAGGCATAGATAAATAAATAAGCCACCAGAGTAGAATTCACCCAATTACTCAGAAGTAGTTAGTCCAGAGAAGAAAATTATATCATAGATAAGCTTATGTAGGTTAAGCACTGTTCCCTTTAACTGCTAAAAATAGGACTTATAGCCTCCATGGCTAATGCTTACAAAATACAAATGTTAAACAATAACTAAATAATGCACAACAGATAAGCTGGCATATAGAGGCATAAGGAGGGAACAGAGACCTATACACTTTTTGTGCCTACACAATTTGTTTCCTGCAGCTTATTGATCCCAAAATTGTTCTTACAGCTTTAAAATCGTCTGTCTTTGGTTGCAAGTCTAGTTGCAGTGCACAAACTCTCTAGCAGCCACTTAAGGAGGCTACTTTTTAAAAATTCACAGTTACCCTTTCCATCCCCTTCTAACTTATTCAGAAGATTAAGAATTCAATCTATTTTTTCCGTCAAATCACTTCCTCATAAATATTATTTCAGTTTTTTATAAACTTTCTGGTAATTAAGGTCTGTCAAGTTCAAATTCCAATATCATTCAAGTTACAACAGCCATCACATTTACTTTTCAAAAAGAAAATAATTTTGGCATTTTTAAAATAGTGTTTAGAAACATTTATGGATAACAAGCATCTTTATAATATGCTATAGGATTAAACGTAGAACACAAATATATTTTTAATATACTTCTTGAATTTCTAAATATAAATTTTCCAGTCTTGAGCAAGATTGGAAACAAACCATACCACATTTAGTTAGATATTTAGAATAAATATTTGCATGACGTTCAATATTGCAACAATTTTGATTAACTTATTAGTAAGTCCTTTATAGCATGGCAGACATGCACAGCAGTGTAATGCATATTTTCATTTAGAAAAAGGCACATTGTAAATGATAAAAGCTTTAGTGGAAAAAACACTAGTGTAATTATCTGGATTTTAAACTGCTTTATAAACCAGTTGCTTGAATAAGTGAAGAACACATGCTGATTTTTAAAGCCATTGCGTTTAGTGAGATGTGATAAAGCCTCACCTTCTCATTAATTGCCACACTAGTGCCAAGGTCAAGGTTGGGTTGCCTTCGTTGAGATCCTTTCCACCAATTCCAACCAACGAAAATCTGGCATTTGTCTTTCCCAGTTCTACTGCATAGTTACAATTTTCAATCTAAAATTATTTATAGATAAAAATCACAATTATTATCCAGATTTAGAAATTGCAAATATTTTTACCTAAAACTTTTGGAAGGAAAAAAAATACCTGTGGAAGAAGTGCATCTGTATCAAGAGATCACTTTCTCTAATATATTCAGTTAGAAAACATTTTGAGTATAATTTGGGTTTGCCAAATATATTAGAGAGAATCCCATAGGGATACATTAATATTACTTCAGTTTCTAACTACTTATTTGGATTAAATTGGTATATTTCATTATGCAATTCTGCCCTTGCATTACCTATGTGTCAAGAAGTAATTTAACTTTACATTAAAGTAGAGGGCATATTTCTACACTGGAAAATGCATAAAAAAATCTTTCCTTCCCAGAAGTATTCTGTTAAAAATAATCAATTTGGCATGTGACATTGCTATATCAGATATATAGGACTGGCAACTGATCTTTAGCTTTCTGTAAGTTTTTAAAATGATAATGAAATAGTGGAGAAGGTGCCAGAGCTCTGGTTTGCCTGGAGTTTTTTTAATATTATATATTTGCACTATACTATGCTAATATAGTAAAGAAAACCCTAGCACTGTACATGAGCAAAATATAAAATACTTTGTTATTGACCAGAGTAAATTAAGTTTCTGCTGTCTTTTTAAATCCAGTATGGCTATGTAGATTATATCTTGAGATCTCTTATCAGGCAGCCACCTGATGGTGTATCACTAAATACGTCTCTACTATTCACTGCTTTTGCTGGTACCCACTTTAATACTCCACCTATTTCAGTTATTAGCTACCACCTATTGTTTGTGTGTCAGTGCTTGGACATTAGCCAAATACAGGTAGTCCTCGCTTAACTACTACAACTGGGACCAAAATCTTGATTGTTGAGCGAAGCAGTTGTTAAGCAAGATGCCCATGTGACTGCTTCGCTCAACAAGTGCAAACTGGGCACTCCTGGTTGTGGTCATTAAGTGATCTCCTGGGTTGTTAAGTGGACAGAGCGAAAGAGCTGCCTGCTGAAGCTGATTTCAGCCCGTGTGGAGATGAAATCCTCCTGGCAGGCAGCCCTTTCGCTCTCAAACTTTCCTGCAGCCTGCTGAAGGGTTTCCCCTTCCCTCTGTGCATAGAGGGGAAATCCTTTCTGGGGGTGCAGGAATGGAGCTGAAATCTTCAGGATTTGAGCTCCATTCCTGCAGCCCACCGAAGGGTTTCCCCTCCCTTCCATGCATTTCAGCTCCCCTCCATCCTCTACTTGCAACCTTCTTTGCCTGCTTCCCCACTGACTTTCTGGGGAAGCCGGCAGAGAAGATTCCAAATGGCAATCACATGATTGCAGGGCATTTGGCAACTGGTCATAAATGCAAGCCAGTTGCCAAGCCCCTGGAATGCAGTCATGTGACTTCATGGGGTGGTGGTGCAATGTTTTATGATGGCTGGAAGTGCTTTACAGGCTGTAAAGCACCCTTTACGATGGCTGGAAGTGCTTTACAGGCCGTAAAGCACCTTTCTGAGGCCGTTGTTATGTTGAATGGTCATTAAACAACCAGTCATAAGTTGAGGACTACCTGTCGTAATGTGGAAGGTACTTTTGTGCTTAGTTTCAGTGGGCCCAAAATTCTGTTACAAGTTTCTATTTGGCTTTGTGAATCACAAACAGAACTGCAAAAATTATCAGTACAGATATTAATTTACATGCGTGCTACCTGGCTCTACCAGGTTCGCTTATAACTGAGAAAGATGGATAGAAATTAGTGGTGATTAAGGAGGCACCACAATTCCTAACACAGAAATATTTACCAACCTTTTTCATGTTACCCCCAAGTGCAGGATATGGTGGTTTGTTTACATGGCTCCATTCTACTGGTACACGGATTGTTTCATAGAGCTGAAAGATTACTAAGCCATCAGCAAGGTCACTGGTCAGAGTGAGGGAGAAAAAAAAGGATCTTCTAATTAAAAGGAAACCCATGATCCTTTAATTAGTCATATACCAGAAATCAGATATTTTCACTGCTTCTAAATTTTCTGAATTTTATTTACTAAAATCATTCACATTTCTTTTTTAGACTATTTTAAAGTATTATTATTCTAATTATCATTTATTATTATTAATCAGATTTATTTGGTCACCCATCTCACACAAGGTGACTCTTGGTGGCGTACTATAAAACAATTAAAGCATGTTATAAAACTGCTTAAAACACTTAAATAATTAAACTTAAATAAAAACAAGATTGAAAGAGTTAAAATTGGAATGTTATACATGGTGCAGCCAACATATGTGCTCCCTGTTGCCAGGGGATCCCCAGGCCTGATGTAAAAACATTTTGAGAGATTTCTGGAAGGCCATAAAGGTTGGTTCCAACCCTTCCTCAGGAGGAAATGTTCCTAAGGGCGGGTGGCACAGCAGAAAAGGTTTGCCTCCTAGGTCCCATCAGATGGAACTCCTTAGCAGATGGGACCCACAACATGCCTCTCCTACCAGATCTGATGGGACAGGCTGATATAATCGGGGACAGGCAGTTCCTCAGATAACCTGTCCCCATGTCATGTAGGGTTTAAAAGTTAAAAAGCACCTTGAATTGCACCCGGAAGCAAACTAGTAACTGATGCAGCTCATGGAGCAGAGGGGACATTTGTCCTCTTAGAGGCACACATAACTGCCCGTGCCACTGCATTTTGGACCAGCTGAAGCTTCTGGATATTCTTCAAGGGCAGCCCCATGTAGAGCATCTTACAGTGGTCCATTTGGGAGGTGACCAAGGCATGAATAACTATGAGCAGAGCCTCGTGATCCAGGAACAAGCACAACTGGTACACAACACAAAGTTGCCGTGAATCCAGAAGAACCTCCAGATTGTTTGGGGCAGTGCTACCTCATCCAGCATCAAAGATGGTAAAGACTCAGATTCAGAAGGCCTGAAGATCCAAAGCTATTCAGCTTGCCAGGGTTCAGTTAAAGCCCGTTGTTCCCATCCAGACATACAGCCTCCAGGCACTGGGACAAGACATCCACAGCATTACTTAGTTCGCCAGGGGCAGAGATGTATAATTAGGTATCATCAGCATACTGATGATACCTCACCCCATGGTGACAAATGATCTCACCTAGCAGTTTCATGTACGTGTTACATAGGAATAGAGACAGTACTGAACTCTGCAGGACCCCACATAGTAGGGGCCACAGACGGGACCTCCCATTCCCAATCAACACTTACTGGTACTGACTCTGTAGGAAAGAAGAAAACCAGCCCAATACTATGCCACCCACTCCCAACCCACAGAGTCCATCCAGAAGGATACCACAAGGACCCTGGATGGAAGTTGTCCAGTATGGTGGGATCCAGTGATGGCTTTTTCAGGAGGGGGCAAACCAATGCCTCCTTAAGAGGTGAAGGAACAACCCCCTCTCTCAAGGATGAATTCACCACCGCTAGAGCCCACCCACATGTCACCCCCCAGGCAGCCTTAGCCAACCAGGGAGGCACAGTTCTAATGAGCAAGTTTGCAGTCATAAGAATCCTGTCCACTTCCTCAGGCCCAACAGGTTCAAACTGTTCCATACTGTGTTATCGTTGATTCATTCAGGGAGAATCCTATGGAATGCAATATAATCATAGACTGGATTACCATCTTTACTAATTCAATCAGAAAGCAATAGTGTATTGAGACAATACTTATTCAAGAAGTATATCAGAAAGAACATGCAACTGTAGGCTCTCAAATTGCTCCTAGAATTGTTAGCTCTCTGTAAAGTCAACTCTGTGTTCTAGCCACCAATTCAGTTCTGCAACAGTTTTAGGCATATATTCAAATCACCAATATACCTAAAAATAATTCTGCCCAAACTGGCAAAAGTTTTGAGCTAGCTAGAACAATCTTGCCCTTGGATGCAGATAAAAAGTCAGTATTAATTCAAATAAGCTTAAATGATTCAGCACAGGTGTACTAGGACAAAATGTGATTGAAGTTAGCACCACTGTGTTACTGCATATAAATAATTTTATATCAAACCTTGAAACAAAGGAACGATCTAAAACACTTAAGAGTGTTGGTATATTTCAATGGACTTTAAGTGACCAAGGTTTGCTCAGTGTAAAAACGACATAAGGGTTTATTTATTTATATTTTACCTGTATAAGTGATTAATATAAGGAGTTACACCCAATGAATTCATCCAGTTTCTAAATGTTCTCTCTTCCTTACTTTCACCTACAGCAGAAAGTTACATAACTTAATTATACTCTGATTTTTTTTTCTGGCCTGTTTTTAAAACTCTATTGAACCCCAAATAGGAGGAATGGTATCACAAAGCAGGAGAGAGGGAATGCTATCATAAAGTAGAAAAATATATAAATTGGTGAAGAGTAAACAAATCTAAATTAAATCAAAACTATAAAAAGAATACTTAATGTGCAAAATACAGGGTACAGCAATAGCAAAAAAATCTCTTTTTCTGTCAAAAACTGTTAGTTCAGTTTGCTGGTTATGTATAAAACCATCAATCAAACTACAAGTTTGGGGCCTATATGACTCTAGATCTTTTGAGTCAAAGCCCATTTCAGCTGGCTATAATGCTAACCAATAAGATTAGTCAATGTCATATTTTTAACTTAGTTTATATGTCATAAGTTCAGGAAAACTGTATATTTTCTTTTGCAACCTTTAGTTAAAATTACCTGATTTTTCTTCACAGTACACCAGTTCCCATTAGGGTTATGCAGTAATAATGGCACCACTATTTCATAATTATATATATTTTCACCCTGTTGTATAGCATAGACTCAACAGTGAATCAGTTGAGAACAGGCTAAACAAATACAAAGTACTTAAAGATTTTATCCAGTTGCTTATTCACTGACCTTATATTATTTAAATTGGGACCATAATCCCTTTTGGGATTAATTATTAAGATTTGTTTCAAAAGGTATCTCAATCTCTAATTGAAATATATTTTGAATATTTCAAAGTATATTAACATGCTATCAAGAAAATTGGTTATAGAAAGAAGGGATGCTAAAAGATGTATTTGGCAAGTTCACAATAAAAATTAAAACTTCATGCTAAATAATGCAGAAAATCCACTTTGGACAAATAGGACAAATAACATGCAAGCAATTCTGACTGAAAGGAATTGTGAAAGTAAAAAATAAACACATTTAATATGCCACTCTAAAATCAAATTCTTAAACTTCATTACCACCTACCATCACCATAACTCCTTTCCCTCTTGTTCAATGTTCAATAGATACCTTCTTGACAATATACATTATTGTTTTATGTGGAATAGGAATAAATAATAGAAAACCAACACAAGCTGGAACATGGTAATAACTTGTGGAACTTCTCTTCTGTATTCAAAATGTTGGGCAGCAATAGGTGTATAGAGATCAAAACAGATGACATGAGCAGAACAGTTATGGTGATTATTTTTCACTCAAGATAGAAAAATGCTGATAGTTTAATTTCATTTATCAGAATAGTAGTAACTTCCACATTCATTTTGCAAGAAAAAAAAATCCAGCCACCTTTAGGCATGACTGCTGTTGGGGTAAGAGATATTTCTCCATTGGGTTTTATAGCAATGCAGCTCTCAGCACTGCCAATCAAAATGCAGTGCATTTTTCTGTCTTTACTATTATTATTTCTAATATGATTTGATTATTTTTATAATAAGAAATAAAATGGAATTGCAGGTAGTCCTCAACTTACAACTGTTTGGTAACTGACTTTGGAATTCACCTCGCCTAATGACTGTAGGATTCAGTTAACAGTGGCAACCAGGACTGCAAGGATTGTTGTCTCTAAGCGATGCAGCCGCACTTTATGACTACATTGCTTAGCAATGGAAATTCGAGTCCCAATTGCCATCGTAAGTCGAGACTACCTGTAGTGGTAGAAAATATTGTTTTCTGGACTTCTATAAAATTTCATGAATGAACCAGAGCAATTGCAAACTAAATGTCCAGATTCAAATCTTGGAAAATTCATTAAATATGGGTTTAGTGAATTTTTGAAGAAGCACTTGTGTACTTTTTTACTATTTGTCTTAATGGCTGCCACACTGCCAATCCTGTATAGAACTTATCTATGATACTGTGTATCAGAAATAGGATGAAACTGACAAGAGTTCAATTGTTTCCTCTTTTACATCATATGACTGGTCACATTCATAGCAAAGGAGTGTGGAAAAGGAATTCATCAATTACTGTCCATAAATTGTCCTGCATTACAGGTAGTCCTCAGGCAACAATCATTTGTTCAGAGACTGTTCAAAGTTATGATGGTGCTGAATGAATGGTACTTATGCCAGTTCCCTGAAGTTATGACCACTGTAGCACCCCCATGGTCACGTGATCAAAATTCAGCTGCTTGGCAGCCCATCCACACTTACAACCACAGAGGTGCTTCAATTCCCTCCACCTGCCTATCTCCCCATCTCTGACCTTTTGGCCGCCCTGCACTTCGCTGTCTTTGCCAGCCCTGCTGCCCTGTGTTCTGCCAGCCCTGCCACCCTCAGCTGACCTTCACCATCAGCAGTAGGAAGAAGAAGGTGGAGAAGGTCAGCTGGGGGTGGCAAGGCAGGGCAGCCAAAAGGGCAGAGATAGAGGGAGGTAGGCGGGTGGGGGGAGTTCCAGAGGAGGCAGTCTTACTGAGGCTTACCGAGGCCCGGGGGTGGGAGGGGCCAAGCCTAGAATAGCTTGGATCAGGGTGGGCCCTTGCCTAATGACTGTGTGGGATTCGTTTAATGACAGCAATGGGCACCGTTGGGATTATCGTCGCTAAGTGATGTAGTCACGTGACTTTGCATTTTACGACCTCATTGCTTAGTGATGGAAATTCCGGTCCCAATTTATTTGTTATTAAATAAATTACTGTCATTAACTGAGGACTACCTGTAAAACTGCAGAACAGCACTAATCTCCAGCCTTATCTCACGGGCAAAATAAGGCTTATTTGATGGAATGGCACAAATTATATCAGTGTATTTTTTTACCAAGATATGGACTGCAGATATGCCTATCAGCCCAGCTGTGATGGAGAGCCCATGGGTTCTCCAAGAGTTATCCAGCAGCCATTTCAGTAGGCTGTTCTGAGAGAAATATAGGATGCAGCATCATTCTGTCCTGTCTTTGAAATGTTTCCATTATAGTTCACAGTGATAACACCACTAACAACTTCTGATGGTATTACAATTGTCTGTGATAACAACTGTATAACATTAAGAACTATGCTTAAGTTTGCATGTCTTCCCTTTTTTTTCTCCATAATTTTCTTCTATAAGTCTGAGGCAGGAAACTGTCTTGTTTTTATTCTACTGGAAGCTGTTGGAAGCCTTTCTAGCTGATATATGGTTTGAACAAATAGTTGAATTTAGGGAAGAGAATTTTCTCTCTTGACAACTTTATCTTTTAATTCACATTTGTGAGGTTTCACATCATGACTCTTAAGAGCCCAATTATGTATGCAAATAAAGTTAAGCTGGCATTTTATAGGATTTTAAAATCAATGGCTGTTTCTAATATTTTTCTTCAGCTGTAATGGCATATTAAAAGAAAAAGACCAATACTTCACAAAAGCAGGACAGTTACAAAGAGAGCAGTCATAACAGTAATAGAATAAAAGAGGAAAACAGATTTCAAAATATAATTTTACAGGCCAAAAGCCCCCAACTACATACAGTACCTACAGTAGGAGGAGTCAAATCTGCATTTTATGAAGAAAGATTGGAAAGTTATGAAATGTAAGATTATGAGAGCTAGCCTAACTTTCAACAGATGGATATGCTTAACATTCATGATCATAAATTCCTAAAAACACAGGCTTTAAGGTCCAAGATATTGACAGATTTGTGATTGGAACTCCTCCCCATCCACCCATCCTACCTCCAGAAACAGGGGTTTCTTACATTCAAAAGAGCAGAGGAGCTTCAACTGTATTGGGGAAAATCTTTTTCATTCTTAACTGACTTGTGCAGTTAGGTTTATAGGTATAGGAACATCCAGTCGAGTGATTCCAACTTCCAATTTTACCCCACAGCTCCTTTGAATGGAAACAAGCACATCTGCCCTCTCCCCATTCCAAAAAAACATGAAAAAGTATCTAGCCTGGAGTATGGTTGGAGAAAACACTGCGAAATACCTTTTTAACTGAAATATATAATTATTTATGAAGACCATATGATCTGTGGAAATATAAATACGTACAGTATGTCAATTAAAAAAAGTAGATAATAGATTTCTGGGCCAAAATAAACAATGCTAAAAACTTCTTTTAATTTAATATGCACATTTTAATCTACAAAGTAGTTGCAAACTAGAGAGATGCTGATAATTTGTCAAGGCTTCTTTTACAAAAACAAAAGAGGAAACTTTTAATTCTGTCCTCTATTGCTGCTTCAGTGCTGGCACAGAAATTACACTCTTCATTGGTGACAATGGGGGATTTTTGCACATTGTAAACAGCAATTTCAAAGAAAGCATTTTTTAAAAGAAGGGCAGCAAGGGAGGAAAACAGCTAAATTTCTCTATCTGCTGAAAACGTGGTAACTAGCACTTCGTCTCCAGTATTAAAACCTTACCTCTGAAATATAAAGATGGATTTTTGGCCCTCTTTGCTGCAGTCATGGCCAATAATTAGACACTGCATATTTATTCACACAGAAGGTGATGGGGGGTTTGTTTGTTTGCTTTGAAATGGATAATAAACATAGGGCAGACAAAACCAAGTCCCTAAAATGATGCAATTGATTTATGAGATTTGTTTCCATAAGATGTGAAGATGGGACTTCTGACTTTGGAATCTTCAGAATAGCTTGAGACAATTTTTCCAAAAACATGTCTACTATAAGCTATTTGTCAGAGGCTGAGAATTGGTGATCAAGAAATGGCAGGATAATTTGCAGTGTTTATTTTCAGACTGTAAGATTCCAAGAGACATCTAGCAGTCTGTATTTGAAAATACAATACTGAATGACATGAATCCAGGAATCTCTGCCAACATGGCCTTATTTATACTCCCATTTTATGTCATATAAAAAGAATTAAAAGGTAGATTTAATTCTCCATCAAAATATCCTGGAAAAGAATATCAAGGTAATCCTAAATAACTTACTATGGACTGGTTGAACATCTTTCTGGATTCTCCTGTTTGCTGAATTAATGCATAAAAGCAGCATTAAAAATGCTTGTGGAATTCTTAGTTTATAATGTGAAACACTTAGAACCTTTTTAGTCTGGATTCAAACAGGAATTCAGTATGGAGGTAGCCATGGTGCCTCTGAAGGATATGAAGATATAGAAGTGCTGTTGGCATTCCTGGATGTCTTTGTATGTGTTTTGATACTGTTGACCACAATATTGTTATTGGCACTGCTGCAAGCACTAACAGAAAGTGAAACTGGGAGACTTCTGCTCAAAACCCTGAGAATTATCCTATGGGGTCCCACAAGGTTCTACCCTGCTTTCCTTGTTATTTAACTTTTAGATGAACTATATGAGCTATCATATCTATGTAACAGATATGATAGTTCATATTTATATGAACAATCAGAGGAACTTCAGGTTCAGAACTAGTTGTTATCTAGTATGGCAATGAGAGTTATCTATACCTCTCCTTTCTGGTGAGCTTCAGGTGGGACATCTCCTGGGGTTCTGAATGTCACCAGGCTATAAGGGACTTGATGTTAAAAAGACAAATTGAAACTTCATGTGGACAAGTTGGAGTTGGATTCAGAAAGTGGACTTTAGGATTTGGGAAAAATGCCTACTCTGGACAAGGGTGCATTCCCCCTTAAGGATCAAATTTGCAGTCTGGGGGTCCCTTTTGAATCTAGTGTTAATCCTGGACCATTATATAAAATCAAGAGTGCTTTTATCAACTTTGGTTGATAAATCATGTCCATAAGTGGAGAAGAAAAACTTGTGCACTGGTGGCTGCCAGACTGGATTACTCTTTATGGGTTGCCTTTGAAGACAGTCCAGAAACTCAGCTGGCCTACAATGTGGCAGCACTTCACTCTCCTTAGGTTTAGAAAGCAGGTCAAATCATATTCAGATCTTTTAATCTGGTTTAGCATTTGTTTTAACTGAACTGTTGCTGTTTTAACTGTATTGCTTAGGGTAAACTACCCTAAGCGATTAAGGGAGAGGCAGCATGCAAATACACTATATAAATAAACAAGCAAACAAAAAACAAATTATATTATTTAAATTAAGGAAGAATAAACATTACAAATACAAATAGTCATTTCTGTAATATCTAATCAGTGTGTGCTTACCTTCTAATAAATTAACATCATAAGAACTGTTTTTAGGCTTCTGCAGGGCAGGGTATGTATTAAAGAGGTTTGCAACAAAGGCTGTATTAAGTTTAGGGTTGCCTGCAACCACATCTGTAGGAGTCACAAACTGTCTGCAACCCAATTTATCTGCTTGTTGAAGCATATATTCAGCCCTCCTCAAATCATTTGGCTCCTGGGGAAAAATAAATTGCATATTTCAAATAAAATATTTTTACATTTCTAAATCCATATATTCATCTAAGTTTGCATTAGACATAAAATGCTAGATATAGATGCAAACCAGAAATTGTTTGGAAAGAAAATCTGAGAATCCTGTTTTAGCAGGGTTCCTGATTGCGTATAAATGCATCTAGGATTTACATTTTGGACTAGTTACAGCAGTCCCACCATAATCTTCCCTCAGAAGGAAACACATGTATTGTTTTCATTAAAAGCAAAATAAAATTCTCAAGGATTTTTAGTATAATATCTAAGAACAGAATCTGATTAGAACACAATACAGTACTCAAGAATATATTATTATGTTAAAAAAACAGTCTATATAATGGTGAAAAGGGTAAGATGCTTTGCTGTTACATTCCTAGAAGAATTTATTCTAAAAATACTAACAGATATCTATTTTGTTTCCCTTTATTTTCTCATCATCTACTTGTTACGGGATTTAAAATAAGGCTGTGCAAATTTTTCAAAAGAGGTGCCTCCAAACTCATGGAAGCACATTCAAAGCATAGTCTGAATCATTCAAGCAGCCAAGTCTTTTTCAGACTTACGTGACTGTTTTGGGATTTTTTCGTGGTAGTCAGGGTCTGAAATTAGATTGGATTGGATCTGAACAGTCAGGATTATCTAAGACTATGTAGTGGTGAAAAGCCATAATTGACTCCACAATATTGAGACAAAAATAAATTGAGACAAGGCCATAGTTGACATGATGGCATGAAATCCACAGCTGTAGGCTTGAATCTTCAACTGTATACTTGGAATCATCTTCTAGCTCCATTCCCAAAGCATCCACTGACATTAAGTGGATGGTCATTATTAAATAACCAGCACAACTGGCTGGATTATGCAAACTTTTCTAACATAGTTGGTCGCATCATATAGTATAAAGCAATCCATTATTTTTTTAAAAAAGTATCAACTTAAAGGTATCATATTGTTAGTTATCTATTCAATCATACCGTTTAGTTATCTATTCCAGAAATCATACTCCAGTGGAAATTTTGTGCTGGGCATTAGATCTCTTTAGTAGAAAAGCTATAACTTGCTTCTCCAACTTAGCCCGTGTTTATAATATGAAAGGTTTACCAGCACACTTACATTAAGGCCTGAAAGATCAATGGCAATAGCTGCTTCTCCATCGTTGCCTCCTTTGGGTGCAATTTGATTCAGCAGATGATAGTAAGCTCTTGAGTCCTGAAATGAACAACACAAATTCTAAACAAAAATTCTTCTTATTTATTTATTTATTTATTAAATTTCTCAACCGCCCATCTCCCCCCAATGGGGGAACTCTGGGCGACTCACAACAAACATTAAAAACATAAATATATATAAATACATAAAAAAACAGTTAAAAACAATACT